CCGGGTGTCACCACGGGCGGCGGGGAGAACAGCACAGGTGAGCCAAAAAACCGGGGTTTCACCCCAAAAATACCCGGTTGAACCCCAAAAATACCCGGGTTTCACCCCAAAAATACCCGGGTTTCACCCCAAGAATACCGGGGTTTCACCCCAAAAATACCCGGGTTGAACCCCAAAAATACCCGGGTTTCACCCCAAAAATACCCAGCTTTCACCCCAAAAAACACCGTGTTGCACCCCAAAAATACCGGGGTTTCACCCCAAAAATACCCGGGTTTCACCCCAAAAATACCCGGGTTTCACCCCAAGAATACCGGGGTTTCACCCCAAAAATACCCGGGTTTCACCCCAAAAATACCGGGGTTTCACCCCAAAAATACCCGGGTTTCACCCCAAAAATACCCGGGTTTCATCCCAAAAATCCCCGGCTTTCACCCCAAAACCCACCCGGAACGGGCTGAGCTGCAGCGCCAAAAAACCCAAAAATCCGCCGTGGGTAAATCCAAATTTCCAGCAAAAATACCCCAAAATCTGCATTGAAACAACCCCAAAATCCCACCAAAAATACCCCAAAAAACCCCAAAAAATTGGGATTTTAGGGTCGTTTTTTGGGTGGATTTGGGGTTTTTTGGGGAGGATTTTTTGGGTGGATTTGGGGCTTTTTTGGGTGGATTTTTGAGGAGGATTTTTGAGGAGGACTTTTGGGGTGGCTTTGGGGTTTTTTAGGAGAATTTTGGGAAGGATTTTTGGGTGGATTTGGGGTTTTTTTGGTGGATTTTGGGGAGTTTTTTGGGGGGGATTTTGGGAGGAGATTTTTGGGTTGGATTTGGGGTTTTTTGACGGGATTTTGGGGAGGATTTTTGGGGTGGATTTGGGTTTTTTTGAGGAAGATCTTGGGGGTTTTAGGGAGGATTTTTGGGGCGGATTTGGGGCTTTTTAGGAGAATTTTGGGGAGGATTTTTTTGGGGATTTTGGGAGGAGATTTTTGGGGTGGATTTGGGGTTTTTGGGGGGAATCTGGGGAGGATTTTTGGGGTGGATTTGGGGCTTTTTAGGAGAATTTTGGGGAGGATTTTTTGGGGTATTTTGGGAGGAGATTTTTGGGGTGGATTTGGGGTTTTTGGGGGGAATCTGGGGAGGATTTTTGGGGTGGATTTGGGGCTTTTTTAGGGAATTTCGGGGAGGATTTTGGGTGGATTTGGGGCTTTTTTCGTGGCGATTTTGGGCTTTTTTCCTGCTGGACTTTCTTCGGGGGTTTTTGCCGTCCCCAAACCCCCCGAAAAGCCCCAAAATTCCCCAAATTCTCCCCAAAAAGTGGCGGAGCACCTGATAGCCCAGCACAGCGCCATCAAGATGCTGCACAGCCGCGTGCGCCTCATCCTCGAGTACGTCCGCGCCGCCGAGGCCGGTGAGGATTTGGGGACAAAAACCCACATTTTGGGGCTTTTCCCAAAAATCCGGGTGGGGTCGAGAGTCTCTGGAGAGCGCTGGAATTTTTAGGATTTTTCCCTGAATTTTAGCAAAATTTTGGGGGTTTTTTTCTTGTATATATGGTTTTTTTAAAAATTAATTTTCAATTTTTTCTGAATTTTTTTGCGGGGGTTTTCCTGAACTCCAGTCTTTTATACCAAATTTTGGGGGATTTATCCCAAATTTCAGGATTTTCCCTAATTTTTGGGTTTTTTCCCTGCATTTTCTGGGGGTTTTCGTGAATTTTTGCAGCGTTGTTCTTTCATTTTTGGGCTTTTCCCCACATTTCAAGGCTTTTCCCCAAATTTCAGGGATTTCCCCCAAATTCTGGGGCTTTTCCCGGATTTTTTTTCAGGGCTTTGGAGACTCTGGGGGGTCCTGGGGGGATTTTTGAGCTCCCTGACCCCAAATTTTGGGGATTTTTGGGATTCCTGAGCCTTTTTGAGGTTTGTTTTTTTTTAATTGGATTTTTGGTGGCTTTGGGGCCATTTTGAGGCTCCTTACCCCAATTTTGGGCTCCTAATCCCAATTTTGGGCGTTCCTGGGGTGTCTTGGTCCATTTTCGGGGTCCCTCCCCCAAATTTGGGGTTTTTTGGGGATTCCTTGACCCCAAATTTTGGGGGAATCTTTGGGGAATTCCTGAGGAGATTTTGGGGTGTTTGGGGGGAGGGGGTTGGGGTTTTTTGGGAGGATTTTGGGGTTTTTTGGGGTCTCTGGTTTTGAGGTGTGTCTGAGCCCGAATTTCGGGGTTTTGGGCCCCAAAATTTTGGTTTTTTTTAGGGGAGGTTCCGTTCAACCACGAGATCCTGCGGGAGGCCTGCGCCCTCTGCCACTGCCTGCCCGTGCTCAGCACCGACAAGTTCAAAACCGACTTCTACGACGTGAGGGGCCCCAAAATCCCCCAGATCCGCCCCAAAATCCGCCCCAAAATCCCCCAGATCCGCCCCAAAATCTGCCCCAAAATCCCCCCAACCCGGCCCCAAATCCGCCCCAAAATCCGCCCCAAAATCCCCCAGATCCGCCCCAAAATCTGCCCCAAAATCCCCCAAACCCGGCCCGAAATCCGCCCCAAAATCCCCCAGATCCGCCCCAAAATCTGCCCCAAAATCCCCCAAACCCGGCCCGAAATCCGCCCCAAAATCTGCCCCAAAATCCCCCAGATCCGCCCCAAAATCTGCCCCAAAATCCTCCCCAAAATCCCCCAGATCCACCCCAAAATCCGCCCCAAAATCCCCCAAACCCGGCCCGAAATCCGCCCCAAAATCCTCCCCAAAATCCTCCACATCCTCCCCAAAATCCGCCCCCAAATCCCCCAGATCCGCCCCAACAACCCCCCCCAAACCCCCCCCAAACCCCCCCAAAATCCTCCCCAAAATCCCCCAGATCCGCCCCAAAATCCGCCCCAAAATCCCCCAAACCCGGCCCAAAATCCGCCCCAAAATCCGCCCCAAACCTTTCCTAAAATCCTCCCCAAAATTCCCCAAATCCGCCCCAAATCCACCCCAAACCTGGCCCAAAATCTGCCCCAAACTCCCACCCCAAATCCACTCCAAAACCTGACCCAAATCCACCCCAAAATCCCCCCAAAATCCACCACAAAGCCACCCCAAAATTCCCAAAATCTACCTCAAATCCATCCCAGAATTCCCAAAATCTGCCCCATAACCCACCCCAAAATCCACTCCAAAAACCCCCAAATCCACCCCAAAATCTGCCCCAAAACCTTTCATAAAATCCTCCCCAAATCTGCCCCAAATCAGCCCCAATTCACCCAAAAAATCCTCCCCAAAATCTATCCCAAAACTCATCCCAGATCTGCCCCAAAATCTCCCCAAAACCGACTGCAAACCCACCCCAAAATCCCAAAAATCCACCCCAAAATCCATTCCAAACTACGCCCAAAATGCCAGCCCAAATCCACCCCAAAATCCTCAAAATCTGCCCCAAAATCCACCACAAATTCACCCCAAAATCCTCAAAATCTGCCCCAAAATCCTCCCCAAAATCCACCCCAAAATCTGCCCAAAATCCTCCCAAATCCATCCCAAAATCCTCTGCAAAATCTACCACAAATCCACCCCAAAATCCCCCAAATCCGCCCAAAACCTTTCCTAAAATCCTCCCCAAAATCTGCCCAAAATCCCCCCAAATCCATCCTAAAATCCTCCCCAAAATCCACCACAAATCCACCCCAAATTCACCCCAAATCCCCCAAAATTCCCCCTTTTCCACCCTCAGCAATTTTTGGGGGCATTCCCAGCATTTCCCAGGCCCCAAAACCTCTGGGAATTTTTTGGGAACACTCCCAAAATCCCCCAATTTTTTGGGAAAGAGTCTCCAAACCCCCCCCGAGACCCCCCAAATTTCCCCTTCTCCGCCCTCGGGGGCATCCCCGGGCCCCGAAACCTCCCGGGAGGCCCCGGAACGTGGGGGGATTTTGGGGGAATTGCCGGAAATTCCGGGATTTTCCCGAAATTCCCGTTTTTTGGCGCAGCAATGCAACGACGTGGGGCTGATGGCGTACCTGGGCACCATCACCAAGACCTGCAACACCATGAACCAGTTCGTGAACAAATTCAACGTCCTCTACGACCGCCAGGGCATCGGCCGCCGCATGCGCGGCCTCTTCTTCTGAGAGCCCCAAAACTGCCCGAAATCACCCCAAAAACTGCCCCAAAACAGCCCCAAAAACAGCCCAAAACCAGCCCCAAAAACAGCCCAAAAATCCCCAAAACAAACTCAAACCCAACGTCCTCTACGACCGCCAGGGCATCGGCCGCCGCATGCGCGGCCTCTTCTTCTGAGAGCCCCAAAATCACCCGAAATCACCCCAAAAACTGCCCCAAAACTGCCCCAAAACAGCCCCAAAAACAGCCCAAAAACTGCCCAAAAACAGCCCCAAAAATCCCAAAAACAAACTCAAACCCAACGTCCTCTACGACCGCCAGGGCATCGGCCGCCGCATGCGCGGCCTCTTCTTCTAGAGACCCAA